TAACACGAGTGTACCTCCCTGTAAGGGGTGCATCCCAGATCCCCAAATCTGGGTTACAGTATTGTCAAACAAAAGAAGAAAACATTTTTTACTGAAAAACTAATTCTTCACTGGTCTCTTTTAAATAGTGAGCTTCCAATACAGCATTTGAGTATGATTCAATATAAACATTTCAGGAATAAATACAACAGGCAGATTGAGTCACCTGTGAAAAATAGCACACATTGGCTATATGCTCAACACTCTTCTGAGTGCCTTCCTACATTTAGTCATTTAATCCTCACATCACTCTTGGGGGAGATACTGTCAGTATCTCCACTTTTAAAAGGAGTAAACTGAGGCATGGAGAGGATAAGCAACTTGTTTAAGAGCTAAGAAGTCATAAACCCAGGATTCAAACTCAGGCAGTCTGACTCCAGAGGCTACACTCAAACATCATGCTATACTAGTTATTTCTCATGGGGTATTCTGCCCTTAGCACCTGGCTTCTTGACCTGGCAGAGAAAAGAGACCCTAATTGTAGACCCTAACTCTGCCAACCCCAGTATCATGTCCAGCCAGCTGCTTCTGTCCAGCAGGCTCCATGGGTGCTAGGTGAAGAGAGATTATCGTTGTCAATCATAAAATTGACAAGGGCATGACATCAAGGTCGAGGCTCTGGGAAAAGCTTTGAACATGAGATGATTCCTGGTCTCATGCTGGTCGACTGTTTCCACCTGTTGACATATATATAACTGACTTGACTAATTGGATATATATATATATCTCCACTGATGTGAGAAGAACTGACTGACAGGATTCCACAGGAAAGGTGCCATCCAGAAGCAGAGGCAAGAGTTAGCATTCCTTGAAGTTCCCCAAAATATATGGGGAACAGAGTCCCAGACTTTTTGGGGAGCTATGCAGCCTCTAATGACGCTTAGAAATACAGATGCATGGGGACAGGAAATGATGCTTCATCTCCTCGAAAACCCTCCTACTGTCTCTATCTAAAAGACAAGCATGGAAATGCTCAGGTGAAAGCTGTCCTCAAAAAAAATGAACCTACAGGGAAAATAGTTTACAAAGTACAAAGCCTAAACCTGTGAGAAAGTAAGATGCCCAAGACACTGTGAGAAGCCAAGTGTCAGGGCTCATTCCCCTGAGGCCTGAAAGAATGAAGCCAAACAGCACTGGCTCCCATCTGTAATTTCTACAATGAGCAGCACTCTCCCAAAATTTAGCCCAACAGATAAAGCTGGTAACATTACCAGCTCTAAGTAATTCCTGCACCTGCAACTGTGTCTTACTCATTGTGTGTACAATAATGTTTGTTCTAACTTCCATCAGCAAGCCAGTGTGCAAATGTCCCAGGAGACAGAGATTCAGTTAAAGAAAGCAGTAAGAAACTGCTGGACTACACCAGTAGTCTAGCCCCAAGAACAGACATTTCGCTAAGTCTACTTGTTTTAGACAGGACATTCCACCCTGGAGACTTTGTATTAAATTTCCATGTCAAAGAATTCTTTATCGCTCCCACCAAGCAGTAGAGTCTAGGATTATAACTATATTCCCAAGATAAAATGCTGAGAGAGAGCAGTCCCTCCTCTCTGCCAGAACTCACAACATTTCTTCTCTGACATTCGAAGATTTGGGGTTTTAGTTTCATAGCTGTTGTTGTTCTGTTCTGAGACAGATGCCCCAGACATGGCAGCTCTTCAGATGTCTGAAAGAGAGAAGTAGAATGTAAAAAAGGGAAAGGGAAGAAGGAAGACATAACTTAAAAGAAAACTCAGTGCATTGGATCCGTGTAGTATAAGTAAAAGCACCCTGGGCCAAGAGTCAAGTTCAGTCTTGTTTCTCCCAATTAGCAGCTACTTCTCTAGCCCTGTTTCCTCACCTATAAAAAGAGTTGTGCTAGAACCTTACATTTATCTGCTGACTTACGAGTCTACATTTACAAACGTTATCTTCTTCAGTCCTTCCAATAATCTTGTAATTAGACAGATTTTGCTACCATTATTTCTTCTCCTCCTTTTACAGATTGAAATTTTGAGATTCATCGGATTAAGTGGCCTGCTCAAGGTTTCATGACCTCAGATTCTAGTTTTAAGAATCTGGGCAGAGTAGTGCCAGCAGTTGGGGTGGGGTGGGTTATGAATAGACCAAGTTCATTACCAAGAAAGTAACTCCAATCTAATGGTAGGGCTGTTTCGAAAAATGTGGGGCCGGGCACGGTGGCTCACTCCCGTAATCCCAATACTTTCGGAGGCTGAGGCGGGCGGATCACGAGGTCAAGAGATAGAGACCATCCTGGTCAACATGGTAAAACCCCGTTTCTACTAAAAATACAAAAATTAGCTGGGCGTGGTGGTGCGCGCCTGTAGTCCCAGCTACTCAGGAGGCTGAGGCAGAAGAATCGCTTGAACCCGGGAGGCGGAAGTTGCAGTTAGCCAAGGTCGCGCCACTACACCAGAGCAACAGCACAAAGCCACAACCAAAAAAAAAAAAAAAAAAAAGGAAAAATGAAAAAGAAAGAAAAGAAAAAAGTGAGGGACGTGGGAAAATCTCGAATATATTCCCTGAAGGAAAAACAGTAACTGGACCTCAAGACAGCCCTAGCTAGCACGTGACTCATTTCTCCTCTGGTGCATTCTCAAGCCCTGTTCCGCACCCTCTCCCTAGTTACCTCCAGGACTCAGTCTAAAGAACACCGGAGAGCTGAGGTGGTAAATGACTTCCCCAAGGTCACCTCGGGAAGAGGGGTAAGCCCTGATTCGAACTGGAGTGGGAAAGTCCTGAGCTCATGCCCCCAATTCAGACAACAGGGGGCTGGTGAGGACGGAAGGTCCTGCGCCTTCAAGAGCCTTACACGATTCCTTCACTGACCACACAAATCCTCCAACCCAAACACCGGATCTGGCTCCCGGTCCCAGAACGTCCGCGCTCCCTGCCATGCCGGGCGACCAGTACCTCGCCCCGCACTTCATCCGGGGGCACGCAGCCCCGGCATCCCGCCCCGCTAGACCCCACCCGGCGCTGCGCAACTGTGGCTCACCCTACGATCTCTCCTAAGATCCCTCCCTGCCTTGTCCCCGGCGCCTCCCCTGTAACACTACCGAACCGAGCCGACAGCTTGTGGCCGGGGCCGGCGCTACAGTAGCCGGCAAATCAAGTGAGCCCGTCTGGCCCCGCCCCCTCTCGCGTAGGTCCTCACCTGGAGAGAATCATCCACCAATCGGGCGCCTGCAGGGCCCAGGGGGCGGGGCCGGGTCGCAGTCGCCTACGCTGGCTCGGGAAGGCTGGTTTAAGTGGGAACCAGAGAGATCACAAGCACCCGAGTTTCCCGGTGCCGCGGAGCCTGGTGTCATTGTTGCTTGGTAACTAATAGGGCTGGGGGCGGGGTTAATAAAAAGCCTGGCTTTTTTCTGACTCTCGCGAGAGTGGACTATTCAGTAGGCGCCTTGAGAGAGGGTGTGCCCTTTGAGTGACGAGAAAATGCTGCAAAGATTAACGCTCTCATTACTGAATCCCAACAGAACCTCATTAGATCCATAAATGGGAACGTAAGCTTTAAAGATGTTTTTGCTAGAATAAACTACCACAACACTTGAGCTAATTATGCCTTAGGGTGTATACATACCCCGTTCCACAGGTCAGACGCTGTAACCTAAGAAACTCAACCACTCTCATCATTGAACCAGAAGCTTCCCTGGACCCACCCATACACCCCAGTGGAATTTTTTTTTTTTTTTTTTTTTTTTTTTTTTTTTTTGAGATGGAGTTTTGCTCTTGTTGCCCAGGCTGGAGAGAAATGGCACGATCTTGGCTCACCGCAACCTTTGCCTCCCGGGTTCAAGCGATTCTCCAGCCTCCGAGTATCTAGGATTACAGGCATGCGCCACTACACCCAGCTAATTTTGTATTTTTAGTAGAGACAGGATTTCTCCATATTGATGAGGCTGGTCTCGAACTTCTGACCTCGGGTGATTCACCCGCCTCGGCCTCCCAAAGTGCTGGGATTACAGGTGTGAGCCACGGCACCCGGCCACCCCAGTGGACTTCTAACCGCTCCTACCTTCCCTCCTACCTACCCCCCAACTCAGGCTGTATCATCTGTTGTAGTGTCTTGAGGAACCAAGGAGGAAAATTGCACCAGCAGAAAAAAATTGAGTCATGAAAGATGTGAAAAGATAGAAACATTACATATCATTTATTCAGAAGCAAAGTCTTTTACAGTGGAGGTGAGTTTGGACCAAGTGAACTACACTTTTCATAGTTGCCCCAGCGGGCCCGTTTGATGCTTGATAAACCCACTCTAGACAAGTGGGACTTGCTGTCTGGATACCGGCTGGATAAAGAACAATGAGTATAGATTTCTTGGAAAAGAGACATATAAATTCAGGGATGTCTTTATTCCTCCTTCGCCTGGGAATTAAACTCATTCTTCCAAAAGTTCAAACAGTTATCTCCTCTTTGAGACTTTTTACAACTCCCAGAGCGCTCCAGTTGCCCTCTCTATGTCTATACAACTCTGTCTTTATTCTTTCAGCAAGTATTTGTTGAACATTTTTTATTTGCGATTCACAGTCCTGGGTTCTAGGCACACACGGTTGAAAAGGTACACATAATCTAGCATTATCACGTTGCTTTGAAATTCAGTGGCTGTGTGTCTCACACCCCACCCTGTCTACCAACTGCAATGAATACTTGTTACAATGAAGGCAGGAATGAAGTCTTCATATTTGCATGTCCAGGAACTGAACTGGAATCTGATGACACGCACTACATGACTCCTCCTCACACTGCCACCACCTGAATGAGGCAGCTGCCCTGGGCCCAGATGCTGACCTCATACTGTGCTTTCTGATGTGGCAAATAGACGTTTTCAAGCAGTCCCAGGGAGGCAGAAAGGCCAGTCCTTTGGCCCCTGGAACCTCAATGAGTCAATGTTTAATGCAGCCACGAGTCTAGTCACAAGTATAATTGTTTCTGACTGGTCCTTTGACTCAGTGACCATTCCTGTCATTCGTTTGCGTTGTGAACTATGATTCTGTTTCTCCTAATGTAGTCTGGGTGTAGCGTGGAAGCCCCAATTTAATAATTTCCGACCTCACTAAGTGTAAGGTCACATTCCAAGCTCCAGAGCTTCATTAAGGAACTCTTTCCCCCGCCCTCTTTTCTTAAGCATATATGCTACCGACGCGGAGGGCACCTCACTCGCTCTACAAGTAGCAAGACCCGTTGTCCTTTAGGAATACGGAGGTTTACATCTTCGTTCTGAGGGTGGGGGAAAAATCAGTTGTCACTTTAAAAGAGTTCGCGCTTAAGGCAGAAGCCACGCCGAAGCGTCGCGAGAACTGTAACCACCCGCAACTTCTCGCGATGTTTGGCCCCGCTAAAGGTCGCCATTTTGGAGTCCACCCGGCGCCTGGTTGCCCCGGCGGCATCTCTCAACCGGCTGCCGGGACCAAAGCTGGTCCCGCGGGTGTCTGGCCTGTGGGCAGCCGGACCGACACGATGTGGCGGCTCCGCTGCAAGGCCAAGGACGGCACCCATGTTTTGCAGGGGCTGTCCAGCCGGACCCGGGTGCGGGAACTCCAGAGCCAAATTGCCGCCATCACCGGGATCGCCCCCGGCGGTCAGCGAATCCTCGTCGGATACCCTCCCGAGTGCCTGGATCTCAGCAATGGGGATACCATTCTGGAAGACTTGCCCATCCAATCTGGTAAGGAATCAGGGCTGGGGCCAGGGAAAGTCCCGGGAGGACGGAGAGGGGCGTGAGAGAGAACAGAACGCTAGTCAAGGCAAGGTGGCTGTGGGTCGGCGGGGGACTTTGAGGCCAGGGGCGAGGATAGATCAAAGAACAGAGAACTCTGACGGGGGCCGGGGCAAGTGTCTAGCAACTCCTTGTCTTGACACAGGGTTGAAAGGGAACCCAAATCCTTGAAGTCCCCCTTCCCCAATCCGCTTTCTCGTCGGCTTTGAAACTATCCCATTTTGTTTTCCGTCGGCGTCCACAAAAATATGAAGAAGTAGGGCCTATTTTCTCTGTCCTTATGTTTTTTTTCCCCTGTATCATCGATGAGATCTCAAGGATGCAGGATTTTTTTTTTCTTGGTTCATTTTTGCAATCCCTTTCATAGATACTTCGTTTGACAGGCATACTCATTTTCGAGTCAGCTTTTAAACACCCACTGAAAGCCCTTTCAATTTCTAACCAGTAGCAGTTATTTTTGTGCCATATCAAAACTTGAACATCAGTGTTTATAATAAAAAGCTTTCAGTTGCTGTATCAAGGACGCTGTAAACACTCAATACAGTAAATAAGTTCCTGGAGAAGGAGACCCCCCTAGCGGCCTACTCTGTAGTGAGCACCTTCTGTAAAATGCTGTATAAGGAAAGGAAATTTTGTTTTTGAAATGTATCTTTTTAGGTAAGCTTAAAGTTGTTTACTCCAGACCCCTTCACTAAATTGGGATGCAACCTGAAGTGTTTTTTGTTCTTTTTTCATCTTTATGAAAATTCAGTGAACAAAGATTGTTACTGGTAACTTATTTGCAAAGCTGTATTCTCTTTAGTAACCCCAGTTTATGCTTTAACTCCTTCAGTTTGTAATTTACAGACTTGGCTAGTGAACTCTCGGTTTCTTCTATAATTTCTCTGCAGATCGGGATTTGTTTTATTTTTAACAGGTGACATGCTGATCGTTGAAGAAGACCAAACCAGGCCCAAAAGTTCACCTGCATTTACTAAACGTGGTGCTTCTAGTTACGTCAGGGAAACTTTGCCTGTGCTTACCAGAACCGTGGTCCCAGCAGACAATTCTTGCCTGTTTACCAGTGTGTACTATGTCGTCGAAGGAGGAGTCTTGAATCCAGCTTGTGCCCCTGAGATGAGACGCCTCATAGCACAAATTGTAGCAAGCGATCCGGACTTCTATAGTGAGGCAATACTGGGAAAAACAAATCAAGAGTACTGTGACTGGATCAAAAGGGATGACACTTGGGGAGGAGCAATAGAGATATCGATTTTGTCCAAGTTTTACCAATGTGAAATATGTGTAGTGGATACACAGACAGTAAGAATTGATCGTTTTGGGGAAGATGCAGGATATACCAAAAGGGTTCTGCTTATTTATGATGGCATCCACTATGATCCACTTCAACGTAACTTCCCTGATCCAGATACACCTCCTCTGACCATTTTCTCCTCTAATGATGATATTGTTCTTGTACAAGCACTGGAATTAGCAGATGAAGCTAGAAGAAGGAGACAGTTTACTGATGTCAACCGCTTCACCCTGAGATGCATGGTATGTCAGAAAGGATTAACTGGACAAGCAGAAGCAAGGGAACATGCCAAGGAGACAGGCCATACCAACTTTGGAGAAGTGTGATCTATGCATGAATGAGGGTTGAAGTCTACTACCTCACAGATCCAGAAGGCTCTGGGTTTTCCAATAAGCTGTCGTAACCCTAAAGAACAAAGGACACAATGCTTGAACCATCCTTTTGACTTAAAACCACTAAGACACTGAAATTCCTTGTTAAGATTAAAATTAGTGTGCAAGTTTACAGATGTGTGTCTACAGTGGTAAACTGTACATACATGCCTCTTTCTGCTGGAGTGACAGAATAGGTGATCCTTGCCACCTACTGACACTGACCTGAAGATTGAGATTGAGTATTATAAACTAGCACCCAGCAGCTTTAACTTGTAGAAGAAAGCATCACATTTTGGGTAATGTGGAAGGCCTCCTGTGAGTCCTCTGGATATTTACCACAGTGTCTCCAGTAACCGAGTCTTTTTTAAAAACTCTGAATGAGTTAAGTTTCTAAATTATGAATTGATTCATCAAATGAAGATACTCAGAATTGTCCAAACTGATTTTATATTGCAATTTAGTAGACTTTATAAATGTGTGCTTAACCACTGATAAGTACATCACAAGCAATTTTTACAGGGATGAGTCTCATCCTTGAGAATGTTATCACAAAACAGGAACTGATTGTGCCCTGTTTAAGATCTCTAGTGTATAAAAAGTAGAATGTATGAGGGAAAAGGTGCCTGAGCAGCTTCCTGAAGCTTTAAAAGACCGTTGGCCTCGTGTTTTAATGCAATTCATGTACTGCTCTTTGTTACATTGGATAACATTTTAAAGTTAAGCAGGCTATTTTTTTAAATTGGAAGTTCCTTGAAATTTGAGTCCTCAGTTTTTTCTTCATTTGCATAAAGATTTGTCTGGGAGGATTTAATTTTCTCAGCTTTTTGTTAAGAGCACTTCCTCCAAACATTTTTTTCAAGTAATAATGCTCTGCTTTGGGTTGGTTTTTGTAAGATTTTTTGCACACCTAAACAGCGTTTGCTTTTGTGCTAGCCTTATCCCTCCACTAAAGTTATTTTAAATAATTTCACATTTCTGCAAATTAGCACTTTGCTTGTCTGCAATCTTTTACTTTGATTTTTGAAGTTTTAAAGTAATTGGAGTAATACTGTTGAATGAATTTGTTTCACTTCCAAAATAGGAAAAATTGTAAATCCTTGCCTTATGCAGCTTTCTCAGAATTCTTCTTCCTAATACTAGATGTGTAGCCATTTGCTTCGTGGACTAATCCGCAAGGCACACCCTCTAAAACTTAGCTTCACTACAAGATCTTCCAGATAAAGTTTTCTACCTCTTAATTATTCTGATCAGGGATGCTAAATTATAATTTGTTATGTATTATCTCATATAATGTGAAGAGGCTTAATGTTGTGAAGTTTTGTTATTTTGGTCTCATTTTTTATTAAGTATCTCACTTAGAAAATCAGTGGTATACTTTAAAGCACTTGGATCTTTTTCAGCATATCTTCCTAGCAAATGTTTTAAAATTAACATTTACTTTTAGCACTTTCACTTGGTGAAGGTGGCCATATAAAATTAAGGAACATTTGAACAATATAGGAGAAAAGTACTTTTAAGGGACAATTCACAAAGTATGTTTGAAATTGTCAGATGACATTTCTTGAGTACCTTTTGTGTGCATAGTTATTTTAGACAATATAAGCTGTTATGATCAGTATAACTTAAAAGTGTTTAGTTTTCTATTTTACTGAGCCTTAAAAATAGCACTGATAAACTTATGATACTTAATGTTTGGCAATCATAATATGTTCAAATTAATAGGATTGAAAATCTCTCCACACCTGACTCTCATCTGGTCTAGATGGTTTTGGTTATGTATCTTTTTTATTTCTCCCAGAAAATATTAAATTTAAAACTGTAAATTAAGAATATACCACTAGATAACAATTATCAAATTGAGCTTTATGCATCGTTAGTCAGAATGCTTACCTTCCTTTCTTTGCTACTTCAGGAGACAAAGTTGACATTTGCTTACTGCAGCTTTAGATGTAGAAGTTTATTCATGCAACAAATATTTATTGAGTAATTTATACTGTGCCAGGCATGTTTTGATATGTTTCTGTCGTATGTTTTGATATGTTCCAACATAAGTTTCTGTCACTTTAAAATTCAGTATATATTTTCTACAGTGGGTAAATTTAACAAATGGAAAGGAAAATTAAACCCCTTCATTGTAAGTGCTTTGTTTACATATTAAGTGTCAAGTATTTATTCAGGGGATCTTATTTCATTCTATTTTATCTGTTATGTAGGTTGTCCATTTGCCGGTTGGACACAGATACTCTGTCAAATTCCTTTCAAAAATGACTTTAATCTGCTGAAATTTAGCACTAGTACTTTAGTGTTCTGATCATGGAAAATTCAAGATGAAGCTTTATTTGCGGACCATCTGATTTAGTTATTGAGGATTAAAAACCTAAACCTTTCCTCATTCTAAACTCAAGCTTTAAAGCCTCACAGAATTTACAGGGGTTTTTTGTTGTTGTTGTTGTTTGTTTTTTCCTTTTTTACTGTGCTTATTAAACTCTTGAAATTAGTTATTAAAGGGAGTAAATTCTCATCTTGGGAATTTTGAAAATCTGTGGACTTATAACTTTCAGGAGGATTAAATGTCTTTAAGTTTTGTACTAGAGCAGAGTGAAATCCTTCTTCCTATTCATTCAGTTTTTACCTGCCATAGGGGAGGTTTTTTTGTTGTTGTTAATTAAAATGAGGACAGTTTATATCAGTGGCAAAGTGAATAAAGACCTCACTTTCCCACCCCTCCCTTCTTCCTTCCTTCTACTCTTCTTTGGATTAAAGGTCAGGTGTAGTGCTATGAAGATTCACTCCTGAGTAAAGTGATTTCAGAAGCTAAAATTGAATATACCTGGAAATTTTGTGATGTGTTAGCCAAGCGAAGACATTAGTGTGTTACATCTTTTGCTAATGGTTTGTGGTTGATTTCTTTATTGTTTCCCATGAAATTAGCATAGTCAGGTAGTACCCTTGAAGCTTGACTGCTGGTCAGTTTGACCCTGTTTTTAACAACTAATGTAGTCATGCCACTTGATTATTCCATGAAGTCCCAGCAAAATAATAATCAGGAATTAACTAACATTATGTTATCTATCTAATTTGTCTGTGTCCCTAAATGCCCATGCCTAACTTGCTTCTCCAGTTTATTCCTTCTGTGTAGGGATTAAAACGTGGGTGTTGCAAGTTGCCCTAAGCTAAACATAGTTTTCTTACATCTTTTTGAAAAAAAATGGAATGGGAAGTATGCAAGATGAAGCAAAAGTGATTTTTTTTTTTTTTTTTTTGACAAATCAGGTGACCTTCCTAAACATACTAAGAATTACGTTCTTTCATGTGTTGAGACACATTTAATTTGTTTGCAGCACTTTAAAAAAAATATGGAATAAAAGTTTACATGTTGGCCCTCTAGGGATCTAATTAAGGACATTAAAGTACAATTCTTGAGCTACTATCCATCAGCTCTTCCTAATCAAAGATTGCCATCAGTATAGAGTGTATCTAATGGCACAGCATTCTGGTGTTTTGATAACAGCAGAACTCAATTTCAGTAACTCTTAGGAGCATGGTCTGTGCTCTAGCATTAAAAATGTTATTATTATAATGTGAATATCTTGTATTCATTGTACAATGCAGTATTCAAAATTGTCCTTGTAGTGCAAAGATGACTGATAATTTCTAAAAGATTTGATCCTTAAAACTTCTTTGTTTCCAAGCAGACTTATTTTAAGGAAACTGATTTTTGAGTCAGAGGCCTTAAAAGTGTCATATACAAGTGACATCATTTTAAGTCCAAAGTGAAACACTCGATTTGAATAAGCTAGTTTATTAACTAAAGCTGTTTTGTTATGAACTGTTACAGTATTTCAGCATATGTCATTCAACATAAAAAGAATATTAAATGTCCCTGGTGTGGGAGAGTGTTTATTTTTCTCAAAATTAGCTAGCATTTTGCTTACAGTGCTTTGAATATTTGACTTAAAATTATTATTGATGTTGAATTGTAGGGTGCTGATTTAGGTCTTGATTCACATACATTTAAAGGAGGTTGGTAACCCAACCCCCTCATGGTAGAGTGAAGGGAGAAAAGGGCCAAGAGGACAAAGTACCACTGAAAAAGAAGAGATTGTCAAATAGATGCATTCCTAGTCATGAATTATGCTTTTCCAAACATTTTTAAAGCAATGCCTTTGTGTCAACTCAACCCTTCTTCCCCATTTCTTATCATAGAATGTAGCATGGCCATAGGTGAAAAAGCTTGTCATTAAAGTATGAAACCATGAATTATAAGCATTTTGCCATGATGCCATTTTATACTTATGTTTTTAAAAGTACTAACCAACATACAGGAGTTTAGGAATAGTGAAGATATAATTTGATTAAGTTGTAGGTAAACAGAAAGGATAATCTTAGGCTCAGAATTTCTACTGTGATTACGAGTCTACTTTATAAACTGGTATAGGCTATGTAATTAGCCCGTAAGTTACCTAAAGGACCAGGGGACCTAATTTTTGTCAGTTTTCCAGTCACATTGGTGCCATTCAGGACTCCAGCTGTTTACAGGAAATATGTACTTAGCAGAGTAGTAGTTTTCCTTGAAAAAAATTTAAATTCAGCCTAATTACAGAATGAATATGAATAGCTTGTGAAAAGGGTTAGAGAACAACAATATTCCTGTAATTTCTGTATTCAGTAGAGACAGGTTCCTGATGCAAAAATAAAACCACAAGACTGTCAAATTAGAGCTTTAGAATATGACTTGGAAAAAATAGGGATGGGCAAAACAGCATAAGAAAATATTTTTTCTTAAGATGGACAGTGTTTTCTTGTTTTAAAAATGTTTCGCCTATTTGCCAGCATTTTTTGAAGTAATGCACTGCTGCTACCTGGAAGATGTCTAACTTCATTTTCTACAACTCTTACGTGATTTTGCCATTGTCATTAAGATGCATTGATTTTATTTATGAGGTGTATGACTTTGAATATCTAAATGCTGTATTAAGTGACTTGTTTCAAAGGAATAAATGAAGTGAAAACATTGTTGTTTTGAGTTTATTTTGGGATCAGGGCAGAGGGCCAGTGAACAGCTATTTTACTCAATATACATGTTATCAAAAGCTTACTGCATCTTTACCAAAATCTGCCTAATATCACCATTTAGGCGGACTCAGTGAATGAGATAGGAGAAACTAAGGTATTTCTCCTTAACGCCGAAAGGCATTTGAAATTCCCATTCATTGACTAAATTTTTTTCTAAATCAAATCCTGCAAGTTGTAATTCGATATTTGTTGCTGACAAATTGTCAATGTGGAAAGGCTTAATATTTCTTTTATAATAGACTGCAATCTTTGTGAACTTAATCTGTTTGAAAATAGCAACATCACTATGGTAGGGTTTATTTCATCTTTGGTAGTGTCAACATTTAAACATGTATTTGAAGCAACACTGTGGCTATTAGAATTGGCCAGAGTTCAGGTTCCCTACCTAAACTACTTACCCATTCTTTCACATTGAAACCTTAAAAATTAAGGAAGTGGAACTAATCAAATTGTACAGCAGCATAAAATATATCTCTGGGTGTCAGCATACATCCAACATAAGAATAAGTCAAGCCAAACCTCACATTACAAGGTTCATAAAGAATTGCTTGGGTTGTGTGATGGAAGCTTATTGAATAATTAATTGTGCCCATAAAGCAATACTTTTCAAAGTTGGTCATCACATTACCTGGGAACTTGTTAGAAATGCAAATGCTCAGAAGGAAATCAGAAATTGGTGAGACCCAACAATCAATTTTAATAAGCCCCCAGGCGATACTAATGCATGATTTAAAAAAAAAAAAGTTTGGAATCGTGCCTATCACTATGGTTGTTTAAATGAACCATTATGGCTTATACCAGTTTTATGTAATTAGCCTCATGCAATTCATTTTCACTCACCACTTATAGTCATTAAATTTACAGATAATGTAAAGCCAGAGAAGACTTATAGAACAATGAATGACAATTCAAAAATCTCAACAAGCCAAAAACGTAACATTGAATATTCCTAAATGTGAAGTCCTGCCCTTGAGTTCTAAACAATCCATTATGTGAATTCAGCATGAGGGAAAACCTGGCTTTATAGTTGTTTTGACAAAAGATGTAGCAATGGTACTTAATTCTAATTCTGATCCCAATAGAGTGCTATGGCTTAGGTTGCAAAAATAGCTACATCTTAGTACTTGAAAGAGCAGGAAAAAGGAAGCAATAGCCTTTTTTTTTTTTTTTTTTTTTTTTTTTTTTTTTTTTTTTTTTTTTTTGAGACAGGGTGTTGCTGTGTCACCCAGGCTGGAGTGCTGTGGGGCGATCTCGGCTCACTGCAAGCTCCACCTCCTGGGTTCACACCATTTTCCAGCCTCAGCCTCCCAAGTCGCTGGGACTACAGGCGCCCACCACCACACCCAGCTAATTTTTTGTCTTTTTAGTAGAGACGGGGTTTCACCATGTTAGCCAGGATGGTCTTGATCTCCTGACCTCGTGAACCACCCGCCTCGGCCTCCCAAAGTGCTAGAATTACAGGTGTGAGCCACCGTGCCCAACCGCAATAGTCTTAATGTTGGTCATGTTGCATTGGAGGTTTGGATGTGGGTTTTACCTGTAAAATGTGGTGAAAAACAGGTTTGATGGCCATCGTGAAGGCTGACGAAATGGGGGGAAGAAAAAGAGATTGACATGATAGCTAACTTCAAATTTTGGGAAATGTATAAAAGATGAATTAGATTTATTCTCTGAGGTCCTAGAGGAAAGAACTCAGACTAAAAAAGGATGGATATTGTTGCAAAATAAACTTACGTTGAAAACCTAACAAGAATGAAAAGGGAAGCTATAATATAAAAAAAATTAGTAATGGAGGTAGTCTTTTACATAATGAGAAATAGTGCTAGAAGTCATTAGGTCCCTATCATCTTAAAAAAAAAAGTCTATTTTACAGATGTTGGGGAGAATGTGGGGAAACAGGGACGTTTTACACTGTTGGTGGGAGTGTAAACTAGTTCAACGATTGTGGAATACAGTGTGGCGATTCTTCAAGGATCTAGAACTAGAAATACCATTTGACCAATAATCCCATTACTGGGTATATACCAAAAGGATTTAAATCATTCTACTATAAAGACACATGCACACATGTTTATTGCAGCATTATTCACAATAGCAAAGACTTGGAACCAACCCAAATGCCCATCAATGATAGATTGGATAAAGAAATGTGGCACATGTACACCATGGAATACTATGCAGCCATAAAAAAGAATGAGTTTATGTCCTTTGCAGGGACATGGATGAAGCTGGAAACCATCATTCTCAGCAAACTAACACAAGAACAGAAAACCAAACACCATGTGTTCTCACTCATAATTGGGAGTTGAACAATGAGGACATA